TCCTGTAATTCCAACATCATATTCGTCTCTGTAGTAAAATATTGTGATCAAGTGTATGAAATGCAGCACTGAGGTCTAACAGGACCAGTATAGACACCAGTCCATTGTCTGAGAACATGAGAATATCATTAGTTACTTCCACCAGTGCAGATTCAGTGCTGCGGTGAGCTCCAAACCCTGACTGAAACTCTTGCAGAAGATCACGTAACTGACCAGCAACTAGTTTCTCTAGAATTTTTTTGATGAAAGTTAGATTAGATATACACAAAGTTTGTTTTCTCAGTCATCCAGGTATATAACAACAAAAAAGGTTGAATCATGTCATCTGGACTTCATTTTCTTGTTAAAAAGAAACGTTTCGCCCCTCATCCAAGAGGCTTCGTCAGTCTGAGGCCTAGCCATCTGGTATTACCCAGAAGCCACCCTGACTCTTGTGTTTCAAGCCTTCCTCAGATACCCCTGAAGTCTGGCCTTTTCACTAATGGTTTCAAAAACACCAAGTTTGTTTTCTCAGTCATCCAGGTATATAACAACAAAAAAGGTTGAATCATGTCATCTGGACTTCATTTTCTTGTTAAAAAGAAACGTTTCTTTTTAACAAGAAAATGAAGTCCAGATGACATGATTCAACCTTTTTTGTTAGATTAGATATAGTTCTATAATTGGCTACTGAATAATTGGCTACTACTTGGTACTGAAAAGGAACCTGTGGTTATTTTTATTCTCATCTATTAAAGATGAGCAATATAAAGTTCTAGCTTTATGGAGCGCTTTTTTATATGTTAGCAGGCTATCTCTCCAAGATAAGTAAAATTCTTCCACAATAGTGGAGAGACATTCTCTTTCCAGCTTTCTAGATGTCTGTTTTAAAGTACGTAACTCAGAATTGAACCAAGGATATTCAGGGAAACGTGTTCTGTTCCTTTATCTTCAAATAAAAGAGAAAACACATTCAATGTCAGGATTTTTATTAATTAGTTGTGAATTTAGTTGTTTTCCAGACACAAGCTATGGTTTTATTCCCTTGAGACGCCAGTGACAGATACATGTTGAGGGCCAAATGTGCCAAAGTCATCCATCACCCTGTCATCTTCAACACACATCCTGCTTTTCCAGCATCTGAACCATCATGCTGCACACATTGTTAGATACAGTATGTGGGTGTGTCATTTCAGAGGTTTCACCTAATGTTCAGTTAAACTGTGAAGATGCCGACGTTTAGTGACTGTGGGATTCCACTGAAGCAAAACTTTCTTTGGAAGCTTTCATGGAAGAGCAAAAATAAATACAGTGTAACAGACACACATGCACGTGTCCATGCATATATGTATGCACAGATGTGGGTACTAAGCTCTGCAGGAAGATAAAGGCTGCTAGTGTCTAAGAGCAGGGCCTTGATGACCTTTGCCCTCCCGCCCCAGCAGAGCCGTCCTGCAGCAGAGGTGTGAATGTTGCACCTGGATGTTTTGTTACAGTCAGACTCTCACGGCCCGTTGGTCAACCAGTAAACCAACCTCAAGCCTGGCAGGTTGTGCCCTTCATACATTTCATATAAACACATCACAGACGTGCACCTCGTCTCCACCATGCATTTACAATAGAGCCCTTTCACTACGGCCCGGGAAGAACGTAGAGCTGCGTGCTCTGCTTCACCTCTTTTTAAACAAATATAGAATTTGATGCCAGTAACTCAGAAAATAAAGTTAAGAGAGACTCTCAGTGGTGGCCTATTTGTGTGGAGCGTGCATGTTCTCACTGTGCATGGTGGATTTTTTCAGGCGTTCCTTTTTCCTTACAAAAAAGATGCATGTTGGGGTAATTTGTTATTGGATGTTGTGCTTCTGAAATAACAATAGATTTCTCTGGAAAAAGACGTTGCTTTAACGTTATCATGTTAATTCCACTATACCCCTTAACACACATGAAAGTTACCAATGCAGTTGACACTGATGCATCCCATAACAGCCTTAAACTTATACAGGCTATTTCATCTTTCGCTCGTAGAACTAACTCATCAGCGAACGAGAGCGTGACTGTTCGTCTTCTTTCCTGCTTGGTCCAGTTTCAGGTGATATCTGGATGGACCGTGCCGAGCCTTGATGAATTTTCATGGTCATGTGGATAAATTGATGGTGGTGGAATTACGTTCTGTTCTGCAGTGAATTCTAAAGGTTGAAGGTCAGCAGAAACCATCAGCAGTTTCTGACATGGGCCTTTTTAAACTCAAACAAAACCAAGTTGCCTATTCTGAATTTAAACTGAATTATAAATCTTGGACTTGCGACGGATGTGTGATTCAAAACGAGTCACAATTTTTAATTTTTTATTATTTGCTAACTCCCTCCAGTCCTCACACGTGTGTTAATGTGACTGACTAGAAGTAATTCAGAGCTGCTTGAGAAAATGATACAGTAATATTGTGCTACTTTTCATGCAACATGGTTAAAATTATTTATTAAATCAGGAACTGAAACTTTTTCCTTAATCGTTTTTTCATCTTTTTATTTTTATTTTTTCCACGTTTATATCCTCAAATGACTGGACAGCATGTCGTAAGTATCAGTTCTTCAGATTATTATTCAAAAATAAAGATTTTGTTGTTGTTGGATTATCACTGTGAAAAATCACATCATGCTGCTGCTGATCTGTTTCATGTTGCTGCTGATCTGTTTCATGTTGCTGCTGATCTGTTTCATGTTACTGCTGATCTGTTTCATGTTGCTGCTGATGTGTTTCATGTTGCTGCTGATGTGTTTCATGTTGCTGCTGATGTGTTTCATGTTGCTGCTGATGTGTTTCACGTTGCTGCTGATGTGTTTCACGTTGCTGCTGATCTGTTTCATGTTGCTGCTGATCTGTTTCATGTTGCTGTGTTCCTGCGTACTCATCTGCTCACACAGACTCATGTGCGTGCTGCTGTTCAACGTAATGTTTTTATTGATTTTTATATTATTAGTTCTTAGTGTATTTTTTTAGATGATGTTTTTCTTAGTTCATATCTTAGATCTTATTAATGTTTTTATTTTCCATTTTATTCTAGTTAAAGTTAAAATTTATTATTATTTGTTACTATTATTTATATTATTTTACTTTTTACACTTTCGTTCCACCACATGTGGTACATGTGGTGGAACGAAAGTGTGTACACAGGGTCCCAGTTACATCCAACAAAAATATAAATTGTAAAAGGAAAACAGTGATAAGATCAAGATATGAGCTTAAAAAACAATACACTGAACAGCAGCACGAACATGAGTCTGTGTGAGCAGATGAGTATGCAGGAACACAGCAACATGAAACAGATCAGCAGCAACATGAAACAGATCAGCAGCAACATGAAACAGATCAGCAGCAACATGTAATTTTTTCACAGTGATTATTCTGGGTAGAGATTCATGAGTCTAACAGCCTCAGGGTAGAAGCTGTTCCTCAGTCTAGTGGTTCTACACTTAAACCTCCTCAACCTCCTTCCTGAGGGGTGCAGGGCAAAGAGTGTGTGTGCTGGGTGAGTGTGGTCCTTCATGATGCAGGTGGCCCTCTTCCTGCGTCTGGAGGTGTAGATGTTGTTAACATTTCGTTCATAGCTCAATATACCCTGAATAAACTGAAACAAGCAGGAAGTTCATGTTTATTTCCGAACTAGAACAATATTATATCACTTTTTATTGTTTAAATATTGCCGTTTTAGACTGAAACATTGTTGTTTTGTGGAGATACTTGTATAAACACAGCTTTCCTTTATAACCATTAGCACAATGATAAATTATCCTCTTTGTGAAATATTTTGACACCTGAAAACCCTTAAATGGCTGTGTTTGCATAATCAGACTGGAGTGTAAGGATCATATGAAGATTTGAAAGAGATGCTACAACAAACACGCCAACCTTCATCACTTCATAACACCTGGCTGTTTCTTGGTCTTGTCTGCACAGGTCTTTGAATTGAAACTTTAACGTCAGTCATCTGCTGCAGACGGAGCCCTTTGTTTACTCTGCACAGTTTTTCAGCAGAACCAGTGACCCGCTGCTTGTGTTGTGGCCCTAATTCCAGCTGATTAGCAGCAAGTGTTGCTAACAGCCGGCACGTCTCCACATGGGGCTGAGCTTTATGATGGAGTTTGTTGTGGGAACAGAATAAATGAGCCGTGCGGCAGCACAGGGGACGGGCTCAGGGTTGTGGCTGTACGTCTTTTGAAACAGCATCTGTCTGCAGTCAGTCAGTTTAATCCATTTGATTGATGGCTGTGTGGACAGGATTGTTTGCAAATTTAAGGTCTGTACAAGGCAGCGGCTGCGGCAGCAGAGTTTCAACATGCACTGCTGATTTGTTGGTGTGGAGTAAAACTCTGTGGTTGCACACCAAGACCTAATGATTACTTTTATTTAAGGTTTATTAAATGCACTCATTTAAATAACATTGACTTTCCAACTAAAAAAATAATTTCTGAATAACATATTGGTTGTTTTTGCAGCTATACTTTTAAATTAAAAATTTTAATTTGGTTTGAAAATTAAGGACAAATCACATTAAATGTCTGAACGGGTGTCAGTTGATAGATTCAAGGTCATCTGTGAATTTACAGTGTGCATTTATGAACACAGGACTCTCGACTTGCAAATTCATGTGAACACTAATGACAATGAGCAATTTTACACATTTTGCAAACAAAATGCTGTTATTCACATTATGCACTTTTCACAAAGGGTTTTCTTATTTTAGCAAAAAAATACCCAAAGACGGGATTCCTGACATTAACTTGTGAATAATAGTACACACATGCACTGCATACGTACTGCACATGCAGTCAATTCATGTACAGTAGATGATGAATTAAAACAAGCATGAAGGAGTGAACCACGTTCTATATGTTGATGATGTCTCACATTTTATCCTGTTGATCATGACATCATTTATAATTAAACACTGGAAACTTGAAAAACATGAATGTAATGTCGTTCAGATAAACTCTATGATTTGCTTCAGCAGGCAGAGGAGTGGCATGGAAAGTGAAGTGATGCCTCCTGTTCTCGACACTCCTCTGAGCCCTGAGAACCAGAACGGGTTAGGGTTGAACCATCTTCTCTCACCAAACACCAGACGTTCTGGGCCGAGTCTCAGCAGTCCTCAGGAGTTTCACCAGTGGTTGCCTTGCCGCCATGACGCCAGCCTCCTGCTCATTAAAGAGGACCTGGCACTGTGGCTCAGCAAAACAATGGGTGAGGCTTTTTTATTTTATTGTTACAGTCCTGAAACTATTCATTCAACCTTTATTTCTACCCATTGAGCCTGGAGGACTCATTTACAAGAGACACCTGATTTCAACAAAGAATAATGACAACAGTGGACAATAAAAACTATACTAATGAAAACAAAGCCGTGAAGGAAAATGTGCAGTTTGCATGTGTAACAGTCTGTTAAAGTTGTTGTCTCACTCCCCAACTGCTCCAGTTTTGGAGCAGAACACTGAACTTCACTTTAACATGCAACTGGGTCCTGGACTTCTTAACAAACAGACCACAGTCAGTGAGGATCCACAACTTCTCCTCCTCCACCATAACCCTCAGCACTGGCTTTCCTCAGGGATGTGTGTTGAGCCCCCTCCTGTTTACTCTGCTCACGTATGATTGTGCAGCTACCCATCCAGGCTGTCACATTGTAAAGTTTGCAGATGATACAGCGGTGGTGGGATGCATCACAAACAGTGATGAGTCCAGCTACAGGCAAGAGGTGGAACACCTGGAGAGCTGGTGCCAGAAAAATAACCTTCACATCAATGTGAAGAAGACAAAGGACATGGTTGTGGACTTCAGAAGGAACAAAAACATCTACACCCCCTGAACATAAGAGGATCTGTGGTGGAAGTGGTCTCCAGCTACAAGTACTTGGGTGTACACATGAATGACAACCTCAGCTGGAGCAACAACACCACCAGCCTGATCAAGAAAGCTCATCAGAGACTCTACTTCCTCAGGCGGCTGAGACGAGTGTAAGGAACTCTCGTGAGGGTTTGGACCAAGATCACAACACAACAG